GGGGGGGGGGGGAGAAACAATCAATATTATTAGTGCTTATACGCCATAAATAGAATTAGATATAAAAGTTAAGACTAATTTTTGAGAGAATATTCTTTCAAAAATTAGTCTTTAACTTTTTTAGTCCCGTCCAATTTTAACATATATATATAAATGAGTTGCTTAGCATGGATATGTTGAGAAAATACAAAAGGAAAACATTATAAGAAGAAGATTTTTTACATTTATGTTTCCTATAAAATGCATTACACGATTGTCATGAAAAGTTTTCCTTCATTTTAGAAGTGATAACAAATAATAAGCATGTCTAACATAAATTCATAGCAACTAAACTAATATTTTTTCTTATATCAAATACCTAAATTAAAGCAAAAGACTAGAAGATGAATAGTAATTAAAAGAGAGGTTGATACCAAGTTGCAAATCTAATACGTAATTGGTAACATCAACAAGAAGTTAGTTGAAAGTGATGTTTATATTAGGCCATTCAATATCCATAGCTAAAGTCATAGACATTAAATTGTGGTTAGTTATTATTAACTACCATCTTAGTTTAGATAGTTGATTTCCTCACTTGTGGCTGTGGATGATGAAACACCATGCCTCTTTGAGTCTCAATATCTTTAGATTGTTAGCTAGTTTACAAAATATGTATATATAATTAGTGTATATTTTATATAAAATATATATTTACTATACATATAATAGTATATGTATGACATATGTACTATACATATTCAAAACTAGATTTTCAACCTCAATCCAATTTCTGACCCCGACTCTGACTCGGCCTAGGCACCGACTCTTGACCCCACCCCGAAATTTAACTCCTAATCCCAACTTGGGTCTAGACTCCAAATCCCAATCAAGGATTGGGATTGAGAGTTGTGTCCAAGGTTGGATATCGAAGCTCGAGTCGGGGTCAGGTATATAGTGAGGTTGGAAGAGAGTTTTGAAAAATATTTTTCTTACTTTATGTACGGAAATCATTTTCCTTCATTAAATTTCAGAAAATAAGTTCATTAAGAAAACAATTAAGTCAATCAAACAAGAGAAAATTGAAAAATATTTTTTAAAGAAATATTTTTTTCATATCAAATACATCCTAGTTGAAACTTTGAAATGTGTCAGTTGAAGCTTGTTAAAAAAATTGTGTTTGTACATTTATTTTACTTGTAAAAAAATTAACATTTTTGGAGTGGAAGTGAAATTCACCCATACTTTTCAATTGTTTTTAACAAATAAAAAAAAATTGCTCCCAAAATCTATGATCAAACGAGAGCTTAATTCAGAATTTCTTGATACTGATTGGATAGAGTAAAACGAGAAAGCATGAGTTTCGTGACGTATGATAGATTAATGTTTACTTCCTCCGTTTTAATTGATGTGATTTAATTTGAATTGGTACGAAATTTGAGAAAAAATATGACATATTATAATATTTGTGTAGCTACAACATTTAGAAACATACTAAATCTTAAAACATGTCTTAGAATTTGTATAACAATGAAAACTTTTCAATAAATAGAAAATAGAAAGTGAAAAGTTAATTAGTTTCAAATATATAAAATATTTTTTTCTAACATGCCTAATAAAACATAATTGTATCGCATAAACTGAAACGGAGAGAATACAAAATTGATGGGACACCACCTTTAAAATATTGTGCTCCCATCCACTTTGAGGAAAGTGACCTTCATGAAGCTTGTCATCACTCTAATAATGTGTTAAAATTGTATTGATCTCTTTTTGCCAATTAAGGCCTCTGATGAACTCCATGGGGCAAGTTTTAAAAATCTA